TTCCAGAAGTTGGCAACCCCTTGGTACAAATGACATTTTTGTTAAAATATCTAAAAACAGAAAAACGCTTTATGTGGCCGCACCTTATAACTCGCACTGTCATTTTGAGCATACCAAATTGCACAGCCCTACCTAAGATATTTTTCACCAGCCGCCACTGATAACAATCCTTTTAAATGTTATTATTATTTTTCAATAACCAAGCATGATCAATTTCAGTCATAACATTATTGTTTCTATTTTTTTTCTTAACAACTAAACTGTATTTATATTTGAGTGAGATGTCACTAAAACGAGTGAAAAAAGCTCTCATGATCCATGAGGCTTTTTGAACATTCAATAAGAGATTAGACAAGAGCCATTGATAAGTGATTAAGCGGCAGACGAGATATGGCTGGAGGGTGTTAGTCAGAGGTAGACCCTCTGGCCCCTGAGGTTAGCGCACAGCATTGTTGAAGGTCATGGCAGTCTTTGAGGCTGAATGTGGGACAATGGGTCTTTCAGAGTCGGAAGACCAGAGACGACATGACGCAACAGACCACCATCACTTCTGACAAACTCTTTGTTCCAATGACACTCTGAGATCCCCGATTTAAGAAAAGACACTTTAAAAAGTCGTGTTTAAAACTGCACTGCACTCATTAAATTGGTACATGTTCAATTTGTATATTCAACTTGTCACCTGAAATGTCAAGTCAATAATGTTGAACTGGACGACCTTATTTCAGACGATAGAGCAGCACAGAAGGGGCCGTCCTAAAGTTAATTCTCTACATACTTTCTCACAGATCTGCAGCTATCCGACAGACTGAGCTGACTCTTCTGCAAGACTGCTGTTTCTATCCAGTGATGCAATTTTAAAAAGGAAATGAGCCTTGCTATGCTAAATTAATTGGACTTTGGACAACATATAATTGGTTAAACCAGCACCTGAACTGCCAACTTCAGAAAAAGGTAAGATTGTTTCTGTTCTCGTTTAACAGAATATTGTAAATTCGATTTAAAGAGCATTTTAAAGGGATAGTTCACCCAAAAATGAACAGTTTGTCATTACTTATTCTCCCTCAAGTTGTTCAAAACCTCTATGAGTTTCTTTCTTCTGCTGAACACAAAAGAAGATATTTTGAAGAATGTCGGTAAACCAGACAGTTGACGGCACCCATTGACTTCCATGGTATTTCTTTTTTCACTAGAAAGGCATGTTCTGGAATCAACATATTTTGTTGATCCTGGAACAACATTCCTGTCCGAAAATGTAGTCCTAACCCTATCCCTTAACCTAACCCTACCTATAACTTATCCCTAAAATCAGAGGGAAATAATAGGTGAATAACACTGATGTAGAAGCACCTGGTTGCAAGCCTAAACTTGACATAAACTGTAAACTTATCTTATTGGTTGTTTGGAATGTTGTCCCAGGGTCAACAAAGATCCCATTTTCACATATTTTCCCTAAATACTTGTGAAGTTACAATGGATCAGTAAGTTCCAAATTAAAAAAAAGTTGAATCCACTCTGCTTTAGCAACAGGAACACTGTGCATATGATCGGATCTTTCCCATCATGTCCACATAGTTCTCCTTTATACACAGCGTTTATTGCTTTGTTTTATCCATGTATTTGGATATGAAGTAAACATTTAGTTGCACAACAGTTAACTTGTGAAGGCCAGATAAAAAGTCATCCATTTCAATGCAAAAAAATTAAGAGAAAAATGAATGGATATTTAAATATTTATTTATTTAACCCAAAAGTAAACCAAATACTAAGACATTCGGAAATGCATGTATTTTTCCACTTCAGCATTTCACTTAAATTGTTATGCTTACTTGTGAAGAAATGTTTACTAGTGGTTTTAGACTTTTGGACCTTGCTGTTCATATCTGGCTAACGTAACTTCTCACTAGATTAAATGAATCTGGTTTGAGAAGACTTTTGCCTCTGCGCCCTCTCTGAGCGACCGACTATCATTGAAAATGGAAGGATTTCTCTTTGACAATATGTGATTCCATAATAGCATTAAATCCCACTGCAGATCTTTACAGAATTGTCAAAGCACAAACTTGTCATGATAGTTTGAAAGGCCTGTCTTCTCTCATCAGATTTGTTCTTTGCAATTTTACCCAAGGCAGCTCTTACATCTGCTCAATATTATTCATTTATATGATTGCTAACCAAGATCTTATGTGGATTACATTTCCCAAAACATATTGACTGCCCAGGACAGGACCATCCTAAATACATACCATCAAAAAAAAGTGAAACCAAAATTATAAAATTATTATTTTTTTAATGATTATAAAATAATATTCTCTTTAGTATAATTTTTGGATTGAATGTTGCATCTCATTCTCATTGTATTTCATTTTAACTTACCATATAGACTATAGATAGACTAGAATGAAAATATCCCATACAGCAGCAAGACCAAAAAATTTTATCAGGAAATTTAAATGCATTCTGAGCTATCATCAGCCTGATTTATGTATTACATTAATGCTGAGGGGGAAAGTGGCTAAATGGTTTGGGGATGTTGCCTATTTTATATGTGTGTATATGTATTATATTTGTGTTCTCCAGAGACAAATGCACCGCAGGCTACTCAGCCACTAAAAAATTGCAATTTTCTCCTAAATAGTTACATATGGGCCTATTACCCCGGGTTTAACCTCTTCTGCTGGAGACACCATTCGAGGAAAGGGAATGATCGCATGGAAACTGTTTAATGTCCACAAAATGGAAAATGGGAAGTTGAATCAACGTAACATGTATCAGTTGCAGTTGCACAGAATTTGTTGCCCACACTTGTTATAAACCTTATGGTTCAAAATAGCTTTCTGTGATTCACAGAGGTGCCTTTAAAGGGATAGATCAGACAGAAATGAAAATGTACTCACCCTCATGTCAGTTCTTGAGTTCAACTCAGTAAATAATTCTTGAAAAGAGTCAATGACAAAATTTTCCCTTTTGGGTGAACTACACCAAAATTCTCTTGAAGCTTTTAACATTCGATTGCTTCTGTGAGAGATTGTTTTATATATATCGTTATAATAAACTTGTTTCCTGATGCTCAAACTCATGTTTATAGTATATGTTTTTGTCTGTATGTAAAAGGATCACCAGTAAGATGGCTGTGTGAAATGTGTATGCTCTTTTTGTGCATGCTAAAGGGATTTGATTTTTATTATGGTTTAACTGTCTTAATCTAAACTTAATTAAATGTCAAATCTGAACAAATTAAATGGTCAAGATTTTTTTTAAAGATGCAGTCTGTAACTTTTAACGCTCTCGCGGTTAATAAACAGAAATGCATGCATCTTGCAGAAGAACAATGTAGCCGGAGCTACTTCTCTCTGTTTATGTCTATGACGAGTCACGCAGGTATTGGGCTACTCCGCAGGGGTACGACCTGAACCAGTCTAAAATAGTCCCAATATAAACACTTATTATAGGTGTTCCGTAGTGATTCAGGATAAAACAAAAACACGGTTTAGAAAAAGGATTCATGATGTACTCGCTCATTATATAATTTTTTGTACATTGAGCAAATAAAAAAAAAAGTTACAGACTGCAGCTTTAAATAAAGCATAACATATTTGATGCGCAAATGCCTTTCCACTGAAAATACGGTGCAAATGACAACTTTATAAATGCAATTATTTATTCAAATGGTAGAAAAGTGTTCAAATAAGTAAATACAAAATATTTCAACCTGAGTATAAGAGCAAAGTAAATACAGTGTATCTAAAAGGAGCTAAAAATGTATGTATATAATATCAAAACAAAAAGGCTCCATCCCCCAAAGTCACAAAATCCATTATATAAACAGACACAATGTGCTCAAAAGCAACAGTTTCTACCTATTAAATAATAATAAAGAAATGCACTAAATTATAGAATACTGAACTAAATACACATTTGTATGATGTACACAAAAACAGAACCACATACGTTTCTGGAATTGCTGCATGCTCCTTACATCATTCTCATTCTCCATGCAGATAAACCTCTAAATTTCAGGACCATGTGACATTATGTCCACCTTCATGGGTGTCACCTGAAGTGCTGATGTGGACATTAATATTGTCAGTTTTTAAAGAGAGGGGGAAAAAACATCATGACAACAAAATATGAATAAATGAAAATGTATTGTACAAGTGTCCTGAGTAATTAATTGTCTTGAGTTAAAGAGCAATAGAAGACATCTTCAGTAACAGTTAGAACTAAAAGTTTGTGCTTTAAAAATTGGTGCCTTTTTATAGACTATAGCAAAACCATTTTTGGTTTATATCACTTAAAAAATAATTTTTATTTTTTTTCTGTTACTTTATGAAACCGTAGTACATTTTGAAATATATTTCTATGTGTAATCCAATTCCAATGTCAAAGAAAAAACAAAGAATGAAAATATGTCCAATTAAATAAACACTACGCCAAATAGTGAACAATGAAATTTGATTCACCGGCACCAAAACCCTTCATATTCAATGCCCAAAGCATAAAGTCAAATACATCTTCAACAGACGTAAACCGAGTAAAAAATAGTGGAAAGTGAACATTTGTATGTGCGTGTGGACAGTAACGGACACGACACATGAACACAGTGAAATCCTTTGGGATTCAGCTTTCTCCACCATTGTCTGCAAACGCAGAGCATCATATCACTGAGGTACTGAGATCTACAGCTGCAGTTCTACACTGAATTTGTTTCTAGTTGAGAGCCATTGTGAACATCCTTGGTTGCACACCAAGTTAGGCAGTTTTGAAAAGTCAATCTGGTGGTTCATTTTTGCCACAAAAAAAAGGAAATATTTGGCAGGTCAGTTTTTTTCCCCCAATGTTTAAACCAGTGGGAATGAGTACAGGTGAAGTAGGTCAGCATGGACCTTTGACCATCCATGTCACGGGTAATAAATATCCATGAATCTTGACTGAAGTCTCTGGTGTCAACTGAATTGAGTGGACCTGCGTTTTCCTCCGTTGCCCTCTAGTGGATCCTCTGTTTTTGCTCGGAAGGTTCCAGCCACTATTTCACCAGTTTGAGTCTCTCAATGTGATGGCAAAGTTTGAGAGCAGGACCCAGTTTCAACCCCATGTACTTCATGATCATGTCACTCCGTAAAAGCATCAAGGCCTTGCCATCAATCTCCTGTGGAAAACAAACGAGCCATTATAACATCTATAAAACATAAACCTTTTTAACTTGAAAGAAGTACAAAACATATGAAAGTCAGCAAGAAAATCATATCTTACATGTTTCCTGAAGAGCTCTGCATGTGGGCCCAGCGCCTGTGGATCGGCGTCGCGCACAAATTGCATCACTTCCTCTATACTCCATGATGACGGACACTTATTGGACGTTCTGGAGGAATCCTTCTCCGCTGCTTGATGATCAGGACCAGTGGTTGAGCTAGCAGCTAGCAAATAAATAGAATATATAATAAATATGGTAACTGCAAAAAGGTCTTTACTTGCACATATGGATTTGTTTGGATGATAAAATAATCACCACTAGGGGCGCCAAAACAAATACACATGACAAAATGGGTAACGCTTTATAATCCGGGTACATGAATAATCATGTGTTAATATCTGAATTAATACTTCAACATGAACTAATGAGGTTTATAACAAAACTGCATAATGTTATATTATGACAATATTATTCACATATAGAAGAAACAATAAGAATAGTATGATAGCTTCAAATATAGCCCACGACTAAAAAATATGTCATGCTAGAGGTATAAAAAATAAAAAATTGACCAACACCTATTTTTTTGGGAAACTGTACATTATGCTTTCCTGACTGGGAGTGCTGGTCTAGAATCAGTGCTTCCTTGACGGTCCTGCTCTCAGTCGCTTTAATATGGAAAATAAAACTGAACCCCAAACATCGCTCCTACTCTGAGATGCAATTTAAATAAATATGGCCCCCCGAGCCGCTAACAGGCTTTAATCCATATCAAAGCCTATTGTGCCATTTGACATTTGATTAGAGAAAATACATCTGGTCCTCACACAAGCACTCTGTGCGGAACTGATATGGGAGTTTATCCCACGATAGAAATAGATCCAAGTCTCCGAAGAGCAGCGGTGATCGCGTAAGCCAAGCTGCCAGTCTGAAAGCATTCTGAGGGAGTTGAACAATGAAACGGTTCTGCTTTTAGGGCTCAAACACAAGACTAATGCCAACAAGCACAGACACGAACAGCGCAAAACCCCTAAAGACTTTCAATCATTCAACTCAACTTTATCATTAATATATCATCAAAAACATGTAAGCTTATATACAGATCAGTAGTTTAAAGTTTCATGACATTTCTAACTGCATGAAATAATCGGTTAATCAAAATAAAAAAAAGTCAATTTTGATATGGTGACATTTATATGGAAAATTGCAGTTGTCATAAATGATTTATCTGTGCACATTTTTATCACTTTTTTAGTTCATGTGTATTTTTCAAAATAGCTTCCTCTCGCTCCTGCAAGACATCTCTTCTCTGATGATGCGTTTACTGGCATGAGGGCGGGACAAGCTGTCAATCACATGAGATTAACCATCCAATCAATTCCTGATGGGCAAAATCAAGTCCCGCTCTACATTTTCACTTGTTCAAGAAGTCATTGACTCATTTCACTCACATACAGGGAATGAAAGACTTCCGTTTCATGCCAACTTTAATATAATAAATTAAAGTTATTACAAAGTGTTACCTATAGATCTGAGTGCACTGGGTCTATTTAAAATAAATAAACAAGTCTTTAACAATTATCATTATTAATCATCAAAAAAACAATGCTTATATACAGATCAGTAGTTTCTGACATTAATAACTGTGCATAATGATCTGTTTAGAATTATCAAATTTGTTTCTTTTAATATTATGAAACAGTGAGTACAAAGTGTTACCTATAAATCTGAGTGCACTAGGGCTGTTTAAAATAAGTAAATAAGCCTGAACAAGTCTGGTCATTTACAAGCAATCTTACATGTTATTAATGGTGTGTGTGAAGGTGTTTAAACAAAGCGTTCTTACATAGCCTACCTTCCACTCGTCTGTGTGTGCGTGCGGGCCCCAGCTCCGAGGGGTTGGAGGAGAGTCTGCGGAGGGGTGGGGGGTGAGAGGGGTAGTGCGGGCTGCTTCCGGCCGGGGGGTGATACTCAGACGGGCTGCGTAGGGCAGGGGGCCGGGGGGCCACAGAATTGGAGGCCGAGTCCATTGACTCTTCTGAGAACTGCTGGTCTGTAGTGGCACCATTTTCAGCATGGGCAATGGTTTCTGTCACAAAGAAGAGTGAAAAGTTTTCATTAATACCCAAGGTTATTATTTGGTAATATATGGTTTGAAATAATACACTACCGTTCAAAAGTTTGGGGTCATTAATGTAACGACTTTTATGCCCACTATAGCTGCATTTATTTGATCAAACAGAGTTTAAATATTGTTAGCAAATACTTTCGGCATCATTACTCCAGTCTTCAGTGTCACACAATCCTTCAGAAATCATTCTAATATGATCATTTGGTGCTCAAGAAACATTTATTTTTCTGATCAAATATTGAAAACAGTCAGAACCCATAAAGCAATTTTTTCAGGATTCTTTGATTAATAGAAAGTTCAAAAGAACTGCATTTATTTGAATTAGAAACATGTTTTAATAATGTAAAAGGCTCAATTTAATGCATCCTTGCTAAATTAAATTATTAATATCTTTCCAAACAAAACAAAACAAAATCATACTGACCCAAAATACAAATACACATGGGTAGTTTGCTACAATGGTTTGAACAATGAATTTGTTTCTCATGATCTTTTACATAATTGAATGGATGAATATACCATTTAAAAAGCATCTCAGGATGTACTTGATAAAGCTGTGGCTACTTGTTTTCGTCACTACATAAATCCTATACTCACATTTCATAGTTTTTCTGACATTAAAATGTGAAAAGTAGTCATAATAAAAAAATGACTAGTTGTGTCACAATTACAAGGTTATAGAAGGTTTAACTTGCACGCTCGAGACTATAAGTCTACACACCTACAGTATTTAACTGACACAAACTCACCAAAATAAAAGTAGTGCAGGACTCCTGTGTTCTGCATGAATAGAAATCTGACGCAACAAGTAGCAACATGTCTCAGAGTTTATAATTGTCCTCTAACACACATGTGCGAACACTACTAGCAATTTTGGAAAAAATTAACTGTACCTTCAATTTGTGGCAATGAGCTTTATCTACGAGACATTTAATGAGAGCAGAACACACAACACCCACGTCTGGCAAATTATAAATCACCCACAGCAGTAAAAATAACCCAAACTGGCAGGTTATTCTCACCCTAATGAAAATCAGACACTTAATTAGTTACAATGTAGACGATTTAATTAGGAGTCTGTCTGCATTATTAATTGTTTTATTTTGTGCGGTTCATAAGAAAATGAACAGAGGCGTTTAGCTCCACCTAAAGAAAACCCCGTCCTCCATTCACTTTAAGTTCGACCAATCAGAACTGGGCAGGACCTGCTGCAGCTAGTGTGGCATAAACACTCAAACGGTATCATTCACTCACAGACACGAACAAGCAAAAACACTCGGAAAAGCTGAACGGATCGTACCGTCTGAGGGCAGAGCTTCTGTTCTCTGTAGTTTCGGTGACAGGGCAGCGGTGTAGGCAGCTGAATCTCGGTTGAAACGTCTGGTACCTCGCGCTACGGACAAAGCTTCTGATGTCTCCTCTTTCACTGCAACAGAGGGAAAGTGCAAATATAGATCACTTCTGGAAGTCCACAGGATTAAAAAAAAAATCACAAGCTAGATTTAGTCAAATAAATACATTAAAAAAAGCCCCTATTATGTTTTTTTTTTTTAATATTATCTTTCATGCAGTGTGTAATATAGATATTTGTGAGTGTACAAGGTCTCCAAAGTTTCAAAGATCAAAGTGCACAGAAAATAAAGTTGTCTCCTAAAAGAAAGAACCGATTCTGAAATGAATTTGCATAATGCCAGCCTATGGTCTTCATTGGCTGCCCACGAACAACGTCTACATTGACCCGCCCTGAGGCCTCAGAGTTTGGTTCGTGGTGTCGAGACGTTGAGAAGACACTGCTTTCTATGCCGCTAATACATTTTGCATGCACTTCCAAAGGATGAGGACTCGCTCTGGAATTGATACGGCAAAACCAATGCCACTGTTACAAATTCAAATATGGTAATGGGCGTTTGGTTTTTGACACATGCTGTAAGCGGTAGACCAATCACAACAGACTGGGCCATTTGACCAATCAGAGCAGAGGAAGCTCTCGGAAAGAAGGGGTTTTTAGAGAGACTGAATCCTTGATCGAAACCGTTTCATACACTGTGAGAAAAGAGGTGATGCTGCAATGTATATTATGAAAAAATAAAGTGTTTTTTGACATTGAATGCATGTAAACCTATTGTAGGAGTCCTCCAAAACAAAATTAGGAATGTTTAAAATAGCATAATAGGGGCACTAAGTTTTTCATTTAAAATAATTGTAATTAAATTTCTGCATCGTTTTAGTTCAGTTAACAATAACACGCACACATACCTGATTTGCTCCTTTCATACGGTGTGTGTGTGTTAGTGGTTAGTGGACTGAATGGCTGGCTGCTGAACAGGTTATCACACTGCAGATGGTGACACAGAGTTTCCAGAAAGCGCAGAACGAACGAAGCACTGGAGGCAGTGGGGAGCTTGACGTAGTGGATTCCTCCTTCAGAGCGAACTGAATGAAAGTAGATATGGTGCAAAATTTAAAAACACTGTATAACTCTTAAACATGTCACACAGAATGCATGTAGAATTTAGTATGCTTCTCATGAATACATCACTTATGCTATAAAAAAAAAAATCTAGTCCCAACCCTCCAAATGCTGTTTGTGTGTGTGTGTGTGTGTGGGGGGGGGGGGGTCTGGCTAAATGGGTGCCGATTAAGGGGCCATGGCATCGCAGCAGATGGCTCTACAGCCCTAGCGTGGGCCCCACCCCCTGCACACACACACACACACACACACACACACACAAAAATATAGACACACATACACACTTCCCCTGGGGACAGCCCAATCAAATGATCCAAACCAGGTTACACTCAGATGTCATCCCTTATTACTCGCAGTCTGATGACATCAGTTGTGCACACACACACACTTCTTTTTAAACAGACACACACCCTTCTCTTTTCAGGTCAATCACACACCCATGCTTTTACATTTTACTATTTATTGTAAAGCACACACATGTTGACAGTCTTAAAGCAACACTCAACTATACGAATTCAAACAGAGCTTAAGTCTTACATCAATATGCCATTCAGCTCTCAAAACACATTTGATTGCAGATGGCTCTTCCAGTTGGGGAACTTTTGACTCCCTCAGGTTAAAAAATTAACTTAGAACTACGTTTCATCTTTTTTAAAACATGCATCATGTCATGGCCACGTCAATTTGTAAATTTACTGTAATGTAAATTTATATATAAATGGTAAATTTGACCTTTTATTACTATATTAGTAAAAATGTAATTAACAAGACAATAAAGTTAAGCTATTATAACACATTCTTAAATACTAGTATGATTTCTAAAGCATTTAAAAAAAAAAAAAGCATTTTTCTTGCTGGCAGCCAAGTTCCCCATATCAAAGAATCCCCCTTCAAACGCAGATCACACAAACTCTAAAGCAGATCCAAACTAACCTCTGATGATTTCCCCGCCATCAGACTGAGACTGCAGGAAGCCGAACAGAGCTTTGGGCTGAAATGCACAATCCACGCAGGCTTGGACCGAGTGCTGGAGAACCGTGTTCACGGGGCCCGGCCCGAAATGATCGGGTAGCTGCAACAACAGCTTCCGGTCCAGGTGCGGCCCCGAATCTCCGTGTTTATTCACGTACACACAAACTAGAAGAGGTGAGAGTGGATGGTCAGGTGAAGCGAACAACACAAAGCAAAAGCATCAAAGTATTGAGGAGTGCATGGTAGAAAATTAAGATGCACTTAAGATGTTACTTCAACCTGTTTTAGTTGAAGAAAATATTGTTTTAGTTTTGTAAATAAATTCATACATGACCACAACTTGGATTTGCTTTTAGAGTACATTTTACTATATTGAAATGCAGTAAGATAAAAGCTTACCTGTGGACAAGACTCCTGAGTCTCTTGTTGTCTGTAGACTAGACAGTCTCCCATCTGATACTGAGGAAGACAACGTGGGGCTTGAAAGTGAATGAGGAACCTTTGGTTTCCTCTGTAAAGGTGGAAGACAAAGAGCGAGAGATTAAAAAACAACCAATACACCTTTACAAAACAACCCCACTATCGTTTGCCCACCTTCTAAATCTCAAAACAATGGCAGAAGGCTACAAAAGCCTTATCATGATTGTGAATCCAGCATGTTTAATGTACCGTTCATGGGGAAGGATTACAGAAGAAGTGTTTAATTTAGATAATCGCTCATGACATAATTTTTTTATTTTTTCCCCTTCATTTAATACCATTAAAATCCCTTTGTGTTGGCTACCAATAACATCAGATTCAATCAAAATATCTCATTTTGTGTTCCTCAGAAGAAAAAAAGTTTACCATTATTTTAATATTATTTATATATTATAGCATTTTTTTATATTTTAAATTAGCTTTTACTTTTATATTTTCAGTTTTCATTGTTATGTGCTTCTTTTTTAAAATATTTAAAAAAAAAATTATTTACCTTTAATTTCAGTTTTAGTTTCGGTAAGTTTTGTACTAAAACATTTTTTTCACTTGGTTCCATTAAAGTTTTTAATCATCTAGTATTTATATTGTATTTTATTTCAGCATTATCCAAATTAACAAACGATTATATATATATATATATATATATATATATTATATATATATATATATATATATATATATATAAATTAACAACACTTATTAATGACAATTTTCATGTCTGGGTGGCAGTGTTGTAGTCGAGTCACCAACTGTCGAGTCCGAGTCGAGTCTCGAGTCCCAGTGTTCGAGTCCAAGTCCGAGTCACCAAAGAAGAGTCCGAGTCGAGTCCGAGTCGAGTCACCATTACCTGAGTTCAAGTCCGATTCGAGTCTCGAGTCCCGTGTTCGAGTCCGAGTCGAAATTATATACACTTAAGCCAAATCAAGCAACATTTTTCAGGCACTCTTTCTTGCAGCTAGAAATGTGTATGATATCACTAGAATTGCCTTTGACCTTAGTTCAAATCATTGTCAACTAGCTGTGGCACGATTATTTATTTAATTGTTTAAATACATTTTTGGATGATCAGTCAACTGGAATGGATAAAGAAAACAAAAAAGAAAGCCTAATTGGACAGAGGAGGAGAAATGCATTCTTCTTGACGAATATGGTAAAAGAAAAACATTTTAAAATTTTGAAAAGTAAACTAAATCCCAATGTAACTGTGGCAAAAAAAAACAGAAAATGCAGTGCTATAAGCAGTTGTAACTCCGCAGGAAAAGAGTGGTTGCGATGTGTGACATAGTCAAGGTCGCCGTCTAGTTTGTTAGCTAAAATAAACATAAGTGTTGTGTTATTGTATGATAAGCGGAATTAAGCGCTGAGCGCGTCTGATTTTGGCTCAGCGCCATGCAGCCATAGCACGAAAGCACAGTTTAAATCTGGTACCTTTAAATGCCACGTCACTGTACATTCGCTCCTTAGTGGTCAGGCCAGCTGCTGCAAAGCGTGCCAAAATCGAAATTGCTGATTAGATGTAGAGGAACTTATCTAGTGTTAAATGAGTGTTACGTTAACTCTCTCACGAGAATGCGGCGTAAAGTGAGTGACGTCAGTGAGTGTGTTGTCAAGCAAGGAGAGCGAGCGGTAGCAGTGTCTGTGAGGGAAAAAATAGATCACGGCCGGTCTTGGACCCCGAAACAGGAAAAGTGTAACATCTTATATCAATTTTTTATAACCTATTTAGTCAGAAACAATGTCATTCATTTGATGAATGCTCAAGTCCGATTTTATATATTCTCGAGTCCGAGTCCAAGTATAGTCATCAGTCCGCGAGTCCGAGTCGAGTCACGAGTCCAGAGAATGGAGTCTCGAGTCGGACTCGAGTCCAGAGAATAAGGACTCGAGTCGGACTCGAGTCCGAGTCCAGGACTCGAGTCCGAGTGAGTCCGAGTCCAGGACTCGAGTACTCCATCACTGCTGGGTGGACAATCCCTTTAAACATTTAACTGTAAATATCATCTAAATAAATATTCAATCCCCAGTTAAACATTAACTGACCCATCCGACTACAAAAAAGCAGTTGTACCTTGCTGCCGGGTTTGGGTCCCCTCTTCTTATATGGTTTGGGTGTGAGCTGTGAGCTCATGGGACTCTTGGCTGTATTGGACTGTGTTTGGCCGTTCAGTGACGTGGCGGCTGCGGCTGCGGCAGCCTCGGCGGCTTCTTTCAGCATTGCGATGGTCTGGCTCTTGGGTCTCCTCCCTCGTACCCCCTTGCGCACTGGCAGAGGGGGCAGAGGGTGCGGCAGGCGGTACGGGGACTGCATTGGGCGCCAAGAATGACTGGACTGGCCCAATGCTGGAATAGGAGTCTTCGGGAGATTGACTAAAGGTGGGAAAAAAAATAACAAAATGAAAGGTTATAATACTGTACAATTTAAAAAATGTTCAAATCAAATATTATGCTAATTAAAAATATGAATCTAATTGTACCTTAACTGTTTTTAAAAAAACTATTAATTTGATGATTACATTCCATGGTATTACAGCATTTTTGGGGCATTATAAAAAAAATCCATGAAAGTGCTTTTTTTTTGTATAATGTAAAATACTATGCATCATATTATGGTCATCATACTGTACTATGGTTTATATTAAAGTAATACAATACCATCACTGTACCATAGACCCACCATAGTACGCTTTTGTAAGAGAAAGCATTTTTAACATGGTTATGGTTTCATCCTACTAAATTCATCACACGCATCATGGTTACTACAATATAGTAGAACTAGAACCCACAAGATGACTATAATAAACCAATGTTTTACATTAGTGCATTGAACCCTATTGCCACATGTGCAGTATCCGCAAGTTAAATGAGATGATTTATACTGACATTTAACATGAAATGATTAGCTATTACTGCAATAATTTCACCCATCTATGTCTCACAAAGAATCATCTCATGCATTGGCTATACCAATATGCAATGAATACATAAATAAGACCCGCCCAACACAAACAATAAATAGTTAAATAAAAAATAAAAGCAAAGCAAACTTTTGCAGTTTGAATGAGGCAAGCAACAAACTTTGATCTTTTCCTTTTGAATTTGACCGCTTCTTCGTACTGCTGAAATCTCTTCCTCAGAGGCCATTTTGCATATTAGAAGCATCACATTACAGCCCTGAAAGTGGCCGTTTAAATACGGGGAGCACAAAAATTTAGTTGTCTAGAGATCCTCTTTAGACGGAGTGAGGAGAGACAGTTTCAGCTGGCCATTGTGCCCCACAGGAGGCATGTGCTTTTCAGCACCCTTTTGTTTTGTGGGCCTCCCCCCACTTGCTTTCTGGTCAAAGGCCTCTTTTCTGTGGCCAACAGGTAATCCTCATTATAGGGAGAAAGAATAACCCCCTTCTCCACCTGGATGAGTGCGTTATCGGTTATCACGTTGTGGGACAAGATGTGACGAGTATGTAAGGGCTATGGAAGGAGTTCACAGCTAGAACTGAACTGCATCTTTGCATTTTATTTCAAGTCAATTTTATCTTGCATAGAGCAACAAACAATTCTATGAATATTTCTGAGCAGGCAAGTTAATGTATTATTCATTTTGTTGCTGGTTCAAAACGCAGTGCCTACTTTATAGTCTCATTTAAAAGAGAACCTTTTCGTTTGAAGCACCCTACTAAATCATCCTTAAAAATATTTGTTTTTTTAAGTGTTAAAAAAGGCATCTATAATGCACTAAACAAAGACAAAATAATAATAAAAAATCTGTTCTTAAAAAAACAATGTGATTTGCCAAGCAGATGTACGAAATGACACCACAAAAACAAAAAAGACAATAGACAGAGCTCTGAGTTATGTTCATTTTAAATTCATCAAATGCATCCATGCGAGTTTGCTAATAAAAGATTTACTTGCCTTGTTGCAAACCAAATAACATTAATGTCTGCAAATTCTTTTCAGTCTCCTCAAAAACCCACAATGAATATCTGCAGTTCATTAATCAAAGAAGGTGTAAAATAGCACAAGTCGACGCTATTGAAGTGCCAAACAACATCGGAGTGAAATCCCCCAACTCACACACACCTCCTTTAGACCAATGCCACCAAATCCCCCTATTATAGCTTCTGTATGGGCCATCTCTAAGATCAGATAAACTTCTCCTATTACATGGCGGCTGACGGGCGGTCAGCAGAAGCCGGCTTTGCTAAGTACATCTGGGAGCTTTCACAGAGTCCTACGTGCAGCTGCTCTCCTGGGCCTCGAGAGGGAAACCAAGCCGGAGCCATGCAGACGTTTAATGAGGAGACGAGAGAACGCGTGCGAGGAATGGACAAGTGTTTTCTTTCATTCGAAGGTCGGAAAGTGTGCGATTCTCATTCAAATATCCTATGAATATAAGTAGGCACGTGAGGAATCAAGCTTATTAAGCGCACATATGCACAATGGGCATGCAAAATGGGCATGCTGATCACAAAAATGACCTCTCTATGGTCTGCTGCACCGTGACCCAGTGACCTCCGAGTTGACTCCCAGTGCACAGACGCACACACCCTTCTGGGCGTCTGGTCACAGGAGAGGTTGTGACTGACTGATGTGGAACAAAGGTGTCCGGGGCAAAACCAGTGTAATTACTCCATCTCTTCCACAATATTTACATTTCGCCCCACACCAGACCCGAACGCCCGGGCAATCTGTCTACGGTTGACGGCGGCTTCAGCTCAGCGGGAACTAGAACCACATGTTGTGGGGGAGTAACGGCGAAAAAGAGTGAGTGTGTGTGTCTGTGTGAATGGTAAAAGGGGATATAGGGTTCCCTGAGCCCCAGGCAATTTAATGAAACAATGCAATCTGTTAAAGAGCTGAAGTCAAAACAGCTACCGCATTTCAACAAAAGCTTGAAAATATTTGTGCAGCTTCTGTACAAAAAAACAAAAACAAAAATCATCTGAGCTTTTCCTTTGTAATTCTACTAGTCCTTTCAAGTCAGCAGGATTTTTTTTCCATTCTGCTGGAAGTTATACTGTAGCTTATTGGTTACTGAATGAATCTACCTGATGCATGTCTATTATCTTGCTAAAACAAACAAAAGTAAATTCAGCATAGCACAAAACAGAAATCGACAGAAACAGTTTAGTAAAACTATCAATGGATCACCTTATGATTGACAAACCCAGTTTAACCCAGTGGGTTTAAGGACTCTTTTTGTGGCAAGCCATTTTATCATTAACTTATCCATTTTATGTTAGTAGTAGCCTACTTTATATTACTAGTAAGTAGTCCAAGAGTGATAGTACTTAATTCAACAGTGATACGCATCTATTCAACTGGTCACTAATAATTATTTACTGCATGCTGATACTTATTCCCTTGCTGGTATATTGACAACTAACTATTTATTCGTTTCAACAATTCCATAGTGATCCGAGGTTCAGATAATAACTATTTATTTCAGACTAGCAGGTATTTCAATTGTTGCTGGTATCTATTAAGTAAGATTTTCATGAACCATGTAGTAGCCATTCTGACTAGTCACCGCATAGTTACTGCAAAAAATGCAAGTTGCAAGTAGTGCATACTAGCATTCAAAGAATAAATATTAATGACTAATTAAATACTAATTACTACAGGAATAAGTACCTAGTGAATTTGAAAAATACACTAGTCACTATTGCATTACTTGTAAAATATAAATACTAGTAAAATAAAGATAGATTATGGTTGGTTTAACGAAATAAATATGAAAACGGCTTACCATAGTTCTTTAGCTCAATGAATGCTTTTCCACAAATAGAGAAATAAAAGTGCAGTGTTAGTCCACTACAGGAGGACGAGACTAACTGGACGCAACAGGAAAGAAACCGTTGCAAAAACACACTCGAATTAAACTCGTGTGACCTAAATGCACAAGCCACTAAAACAAAGCAACAGACATCAGAGACAAAAGCCTCGGAATACACCAGAGGAACTCACCAAAACGCCAACTTTCAACTATATCCGCGTTCTGCGCCAACGAATCCGGTGTAAATCTTTCCCTTGGTTGAGAATGCCTGGTTTTAAAGCAATATAACAACCGGAGCTCGCGCTCACTTTTGCACCCGGTTTGAACAGAAGCGGCAGAAGCGCATGACAAAGCCCGTGCCGGTGGAGCCCTGATCGGGCAATATCTGATTAATATGGAGGCGGGGACGAGGAGTGGAGGAGGAGGAGGAGGAGAAGAAGGAGGAGTGGAGGAGGAGGGGGGCGGGGTATTCATGTTATCAGCCAGTGTTGACAGTCCTCGAATGGGCGCCAAATTACATTATTATTAAAATACAATAAAACATTTAATTAAAGAAGAGCTCATTTGTATTTTATTAAATACAAAATATCATTAAATATCAATATCATTTATTTTAAGATTAAGATTTAGTCTACATTTTGATGTAACATTCATAAATAATAATTACTTTTATTATCATCATTATTATTATTCAAAATTAGATTAAAGAGTTAATCTACATGTTGATTTAACATTTATAAAAATGTATTTTTTAATAATTATTATTATTATTATTTTAAAGTAATTATTTGTAAATGTTACATCAAAATGTAAACAATGTTAGAACTAAATATTAATAATAATAATTTATTTTATTATTATTAGTAGTAGTATTTTTCTTTAAGATTTAGAAGTTTTAGACTATAAATAATACATAATTATTATAAATAATTATTACTTTTATTATTATTATTACTTCTACTACTAATAATAATAATAATAATGATGATGATGATTTATAAAAACATTGCACATCACTGTCTAGTTTTTCAAAATGTTATTTATATAAATCTGGCACAAGGTTGTTGTTAACTCTGACAAACTATCACATTTACATTCAACTTCCCATACTAATCAGTCTCCTGCCATTTCAAAGGCCTCCTCCCAGGCTTTTAGGGCTGAAGGGGGTAACGGGTTAATGAAGATCAGATTCAGAGCGCCCAGTTTGAAGCACACGGGTCCAGAGAGACATGAATGATGCTCCTGCTGGAAGTATGTATGTGCTTTCTTACACGCCCGGCGGGTATAGTCTACTCACACCTCAATCTGGGACCAGTCGTAATCCCAAACACCATTCAGAAGGATTATTAGATTATTACAAATACACAAACAGGCCTATAGAGCCAAATTGGATTTGTCTGCTTTGTCTCACACATTTATTTTAAATGCATTAAGCTACACGAGATGTGTGAAAGCACTAACACTTATTAAAAAAATCCTGCCCTATATGGTTCTCACTTTAGGTGTGAGAACAGGAGCAACGGTGAATACATACTAATAAACACCTCTAAAAATAACTTAAAATGAGCCATGAAGAAGATCATTTAGGCAAAGCGTGCCATCTAATCATAATGGGTTATTGTTTAAGGCTCTGAAAAAAAGCATTTTATTATTATTAAAAAAAGCAGTCAAATATTTCCTAATTCATTACAAAGGAAACAATATAGTTAAAATCATAAAATGCCATTAAAAAAATTATTCTGCACATTAGTAGGCAGGCTGATTGTTTTTTAAATGAATAATTCAAGTCAAAGAAATTCGAAAAACACCAAACTCAGTAGGGAAGGTTTTTTTTTTAAAAATCAATATTGTATCAAATTCTCATCTGAGATGGGAAAAGGATAAGATGTGACAGACCATTTTTCTTTCATTTTCTCTTAAACAGTGTTATAAATGCTTTCATGTGGCATAGCCAGAGGCTGTATCTTCGAGCTCTTTCGTAATAGTACATCAAAAACATAAATTGAACTGATGATCTTTATCAAAACAAACTCTCAGAAGACGTTTTCTAACACAAACCAGCACACTCCAGATATTCAAACATCTTGTCAGATTACAGGAAAACTGAGAACACTTTTCTTTTTAGGAGTAATTAAGTTGAAAATGTTTGAATTTAAAAAAAGTAAATGCTTCATTTATTTGTAACTGACTCCAAAAGATCTGAACCAAAAGCTAAACCTTTGTCTTGTGTCCAAAGCTTGCCTTTCCATTGTACTAAGCACTTATTACTGTTGTTCTTTGCTACATTATTAATATATGCGAATCTGCGCACACACAATGTGCTCTGCGCCCCGAGGTAAACCCAGCAAGAAAAACTAGAAATACACAAAAAAATAAGCCATCCTTCAAACATCAACAGACACGTGTGTTTTTTTCAGTGCTCATTAAAAGGTGGTATTCACTAATGATCAGTTAGAACTACTATGCAAGGCAAATGAAGACAAATCACACACAAAGGAAAACTCGCAGTTCATGCTTTCATTCCTCCATTCAAAGCTCACGAAAATATCATCAGAATTTATTTGAACCATTTGCTTTTTCATATTTATATGTAAAATGAGCCTATGGTCTTACCAAATTTAGCGCTCATAATTACCATTAAAACCACTCATAAAACCACATAATTGAATCATATATGGCTGTTCTTTGTATCCCTCCAAAAGAACATGAAACCCTAAAACCTGCACTTGTAAAATTCAGTTCAGAATTTTCTGCCGGTGTCAAAGAGGAGCAATTTGAAAGCAGGAGTCTTTTGTTGAATAAAGCTTATAACTCTTCAAACTATAAAGTACTGCTGAGTCATGGATTGATCCAAGCATTTTCAGTAAAACTTGGACAGTGAATTGTAATCCGTCTGTCAATAATATACAACAATTCCTGGTTGTGAGAAAATTCTAACTATTGAGTCTCAAAGACAAAAGCACTTATTTATTTCAACCAGTATTTTAATGGAGAAATATTCTAAAATCCCTTTTTTTTTTAACAATCCAATAAATATTATAATCCAATATCAAACTCCATGTATTTTCCAAAATCACTGGCAATCTCACATAATTTCTCAATTCAGTGCATCAGGGCGTATGTGAAACAATAGCTTTTGTACAAGAACGGGGAAAAAAGGACCACAGATTCTCAATTTCTCCAGAATTGTCCAGCTCTACTTCATACTTCAAAAACCTCGTGTCTGACTGGGATAAATGGGAAACTTCTCCCAACACCCAATATCCTTTCAGTCTGGTCGTGTCCGCTCTGGTTAAAGCAGGAAGAGAGCAGTAAACATGCCTCGAAAGTATTCAGAGGAGGAAGAACTGATAGACACGTAACTACCACCATCCATCAAGAAGTCAATTTTCATTCACTTCACATCAATTATCCTGCCAGAGCCACACAAACTGCTTAAGCACGGGTTAAACATTTGAACAGCACCAACAGACAGTGATAAACCATCACATCCAGATTTACAACACACCAGGAAATGATATAGTCCACAAATAATCAGAAATAGTGTAGTCCAGCAAAGTGTGCATGTTAAGTAAAAGTTGCTGTCAAGAAGATTAAGGTTTCTGCATGTTGCTCACAATTTATATATATATGCATACATTTTATACAATACCTGTCAAAAAGTCTTTTATGCTCCTAAAGCCTGCATTTATTTGATCAAAAATACAGAAAAAAAAAACAGAAATACTGTGATTATTATTACAATTTAAAATAATGGTTGTCTATTTTAATAGACTTTAAAATATAATTTATTTCTGTGATGCAAAACTGAATTTTCAGCATCATTACTCCAGTCTTCGGTGTCACATGATCCTTCAGAAATCATTCTAATATGCTGATTTGATACTTTTCTTTTTTTTTGGAATCTGTGATACTTTTTCAGGATTCATTGATGAATAAAAAGTTAAAGTTTTTACTGAAAAAAAAAAACAATCGTTATAGTTATTGTTCTTAAAATTTATAAACTGTAGCCAAAAACCATAGCATAGGCTATCTCTTATGAATTCTGAGTTCTCATACATTTGACATCAATAATCTATTAAAATAATAGTAATAAATACTACTCCTCAGTCTTTTTTTAGTACGTATGAAATTGGTGGGGGGAAAAAGATTCCCACAAAAAACAAATTCTTATGATACAAAGAAATCTTTAAAAACAATTATTAACTCATCAAATTAAACAATTTCACCTTGTAAAACTTGTTTTCAAAATTCAAAATCATGTAGGCTATATAATAAACATTTAATCAACAAGAAACTGCAAAATTGTGCCAACTGGACCAGTCAAAAAGTCACCGTTCACTTGAACTTGAAAACACTAAATATTTGATAGAGAAATAAAGGTGGTTTCTCTAGTCTAGTCTCTTGATTGAGGCAATGACGTTTCTCTGTAAACACTGGAGAAAAAAACCCTGTAGTGACCCCTAGTGGTCAGAGACTGTACTCACAGCAGTTGCCAGGAGGTTGCAGACTGTGGTTGGTCAGTTGACACCAGCCCACGGGGAAGATGTCCCTGGAGTCATACAGGCACCAGTAATCGAACGCTCCTCTCCAGCCATCAAACATGATGAATATCTTGTCACCTCTCACCTCTCCGATGGTAGCGGGACAGATGAGGTAGGGATTTTTTCGGTCCACTGCCTCCAGTTTCTGACCAGGTTTGAAGTAGTTTTCAGTGGGTTTGGACGGCTCCTGAGGCATTCACAGGAAACACATCAACCATAAGCAAAATTTAATTTCAAAATACAGTACAATATAACAAAAGCAATGTTTATGCTAAGTTCTAAAAAGTTGAAAGATTTGTTACATTATTTATTCAAATTTGTGTTGTGGAACAAACACTTTCCGTTTCTTTCACAGCTTTATTCATAGGAAGCTTGTTAACATGGTTTGCAATTTGAAGCAATTACCTTTTTAAAGGCTGAGGCTGGAGCAATGTCTGCCCCACTTAATGTTTTTAATAGGAACATGGGCCATGAAGAGGCGTTCATTCTGAATCCTGAAGATGGGTACAAAAAAAGTTAAAAAGGAGTACATTGAAAGAAGAAAAAATGACTAGATTCTTATCAACACAGCACAATTTTGTTCTTAAACATGACATTATAACAATGCTATAACTTTCTTAATGACCATCATATGGGATGTTTGTTTTCCACAAAACACTTTAAATTAACAGCGGTAACACTTTAGTTGAGGGTCCAATTCTCACTATTAACTAGTTGCTTATTAGCATGCATATTACTAGGATATTGTTTCTTTATTAATACTTATAAAGCACATATTTATGACTTATTCTGTATGACCATATTCTACATCCCTTAATCCCTAAATTTAACAACCTTACTAACTATTAATAAGCAGTAATTAGGAGTTTATTGAGGCAAAAGTGGTAGTTAATAGTTAGATAATAGTGAGAATTGGACCCTAATCTAAAGTGTGATATTGGCAGAAATTTGATCTCAAAACCAACTTATTTAGACCTAAACTATATTTTGCTGAACCTTTACACTAATATTCTGAACACTAATATTTTAGTTTGTGTTTACATTGGAAAACAATGTTTGATTCTCCAGTGCATCTTATTTTCCTGTTTTATATCCCAAAATGCATCAGTGCAGAATTTACCCAGTGGTGGCTGCAACATGTCGCCACTCTTCTCGCATGTGCCGATAGGCTGAATGTCAGAGGAGTCAACCAATCGCCAGAAGTCATTGGTGTTGTCACTGCCATCCAGTCTGAGCCGCAGACGCACGCCCATTGACCCCATCACCGTGGCGATGCACACGGAGGTGGAATTCCTCGGGTCACAAGCCTCCACTTTACTTCCCACTTTAAAATCATTACTGGGAGGGATTCTGGACTGGAGAGAGAGAAAACATTACCATGAAATGTTAATGAAATACTGTGAATAATATATGAATAATGGCATATAGGGATCTGTTAGTGTCACATGATCCTTCAGAAATCATTCTAGTATGCTGATTTGGCGTTTTGGAGTGTGTGTGTGTGTGTGTGTGTGTATATATACATATATAGGGGTCAATCAGTGTCACATGATCCTTCAGAAATCATTCTAATATGCTGATTAAACATTTCTTATTACTATCAGTGGTAAAAACAGTTGTGCTTAATAGAAAGGTCTTTTTCCAATAAGCACTTTTTTTCTAAATGTTTTGTTACAGTCACTTTTAAATGATGTAATGCATCCTTGGTTAATAAAAGTAATGATTTCATTTTTTTTAAAAACTCTTACTGGCCCTAAACTTCTGAACGGTAGTGTAAAAATACAACTTACAAACTTTATTATTGATATGTACCATTAAAAACAACACATTTACTTCATTCTATTTTAATTCCACTTCTTTAAATTCAGATTCAATTCAAATTCTTCATTGGTGTCTCAAATGAAATTCAGAAATTGAATTGGAATTTAAAAGTTATGGAATTCATAAGTCTGGTATCAAGACTCATTAATCTTGTAAGGAGTTACATAATATCAAATATATCAGTTATAACAAATTAAGCAGCAACCATCCATGGATGACCCTTTATTTAATCATTGACAGACTTACTTGTCTGAAACAGCTGGGGGAAGCAGGACAGGCTGAAGTCTCTCTCAAGTACATTTCCCAGCTGAACGGCTCTGATGAATGAGCAGGGGAGAGAAATGTACATCAGGAAGTTTGAGATGAACTAAACAGTAGTACATGTTTTGTTTTTTTACATGTTAATAAAGAAAGAGAAGGCTCTACCCGTGAGCTTTTGTGAAGGGAGTGAATCCTCATTATTCCTCCCCGATTTCTCCTTATTACTGTATTTTTTGTCTGCAATTAAAAAGACATAGTCGGTCACAAAACTAGAGAATAATAACAAATAAGTTACTTCATTATGAAAAGGGACTAACAAAGAATGTTGACGGTTTAATTAAAATGTCAAGATGGGATAAAGTAGCAGTTTTGACCTTTGTGATGGGTTTTGCCCATGGTGTCCTGGAGAACCACATGAAGCGGACAGAAACTGGACAGATCCTAGATTTGGGATCTGAGAAAAATCTGAAAAACTGAAAGAAAGAAAGAAAGAAAGAAAGAAAGAAAGAAAGAAAGAAAGAAAGAAAGAAAGAAAGAAAGAAAGAAAGAAAGAAAGAAAGAAAGAAAGAAAGAAAGAAAGAAAGAAAGAAAGAAAGAATTTATTAAAGATTATTAATAGCAATACTGATCATACTGAAGGTCATTCCGTGTCAACTTAACCAATTTTTAATTTTGTTAATATTTTTTTCTGAAGAAAGACAAACATAAATAGTAAGGAAAGCCAAAATATGAAATGCCATGGATGAATATTTATTGAGTAATCCACTATTTTGATGAGTGGGGTCAAAACGACAATTTTCACCTAAAATTTAAAGCCAAATTACAAGGGGAAGAAAATGACTTGAACGATGGCAGCATCATTATTTAATTTTGGTAGGTCTATTATAAATTCTGTTCTTTCTTTCTTTCTTGTTCTTTTTTAATTACAATAAGTAATTTTCAACCATTGAAATAAGTTCAACAGTTCGTACATGGAGCCTCACTGGGATCCCCATATCTCTGGGAAGAAACCATATAGTAAAATCAGTCAGATTTTATTTTTGAGAAAGAAATTAATACTTTTATTATTATTACTTTTAGGATGCATTAAATTGATTTTAAAAAATACATGTAAGGACATTTAAAAAGATTATAATGATTTTAAATGATTGCTAAAAATATTTCTATTTCAAATAAATGCTGTTCTTTAAAACTTTCTACTCAAAGAATCCTGAAAAAAAGTATCAGTTTCCACAAAAATATTAAGCAAGACAACTGTTTTTAACATTGAGCAGCAAATCAGTATGAATTCTGCATTCTGAAGGATCGTGTGACAGTGGAGACTGGAGTAATGATGCTGAAAATTCAGCTTAGGAATTCACTGAAATAAATTACATTTTAAAATTATTTTCAATTGTAATAATTGCGAAATATTATGGTTTTATTGTATTTTGATCAAATAAATGCAGCACTGGTGAGCAAGACTTCTTGAAAAATCTCACCTTATATTCAAATCAGTTTTAGTGAGATCATGTTATCTGTAAATAATAGTCTTCTCTTTTATCAGCTGGTTCAGCTTTGGCCCAGAGTTCATGAACTCTTCACGGAAACCATATTACAGCATTACGGAAGACAGGGATTATACTTTATACTCCCTACTGGCATCTGAGTTCAATTTATTCCACTAACATTGTACTGTGCAAAAAAAAGAAAAGAAAAGATTATCACTAAATCACAAATACCTTTAGAGAATCAAAGCACTGGACTAAGAAAAGCTTTTCTTCTATTTGACATCATAATAAGTTACTGAGCTTCTGAGGGACCCAGCGCTCGCTGATCAAAGCCTCGGCTCTCTCAGCAAGTGATAAGTCACATCTCAGTTTGGGGGAAATTGGCTGCAGCTGACGTCCCGTGCAAACTGACAGTGAGATGAAGGACTTCCCTTTTATTCCAAGTGATTCGTAATGGGACATTCAACATAGCTATATAAATAAAAAAAAACAAATAAAGACTAAAAAAAAAAAAATCCATTTTAATCCCTTCAACAAACTATAAGAAATTGTTGCGCTCTAAATTGACAAAAATATATATTTTTTCTTCAGGTGCGTGGATCCAAAAAGATATGGAAAACGAGCAAGGTGCTGGCAGCACACTGGATTCAGTACAGACTACAGAAGTCTATTAAAAAACAAATGAACAGGAGCAAATGTTTCAGCACATTGCTCTCTTCAGTGCTCACTCTGCAACAAACAGTCACCCTTTTGTTGGTAAATTAGCAATTAGGGGTAACAAATCAATGGCATTTGCAAAATACTACCTTTTTTTTTTTTTGCAAAAGTGTAATGCTATTAACAAATAGAATACTACAGCCTTCAGTCTACTCTAATTTGTATAAACAATTAAGTGTTTTTAAGTTTCAGGTTGTCTTATATACACAAATATGAATTTAGAAGCACCAGGTGGTTATTAAGGTCCAACTAAACAGTGTTGGGTAAGTTACTCTAAAAAAGTAATCAATAACTAGCTACTAATTACATCTTCAACAGTGTAATTAGATACTTATTACTAGTACTTTCTAAATCCCATATCAACATGGACCAGTTGAACAGTAGAACAACATAGACATGAAACTGCTCTTTTAATTCTGTCAATTAAATAATGTAAATAATGTAAAATTGCATAAATTATTCTTGAACTGACCAAGTATTTACATTTTGATGTTAAATGCACTATTGTTTTCTATAGAATATTATATTGGTATTATTATATATATATATATATATATATATATATATATATATATATATATATATATATATTCCATATAGTATTATGCAACTCAGAAGTAACTGTAATTCAATTTCAGAAAAAAAATAAGAGTAATACGTTACTTTGCTTTTTCAAGGGGAAAGTAATTAAATTACAGTAATAATTTACTTAGTAATGCATGATTACACCCAACACTGCATTGGAATATTAAATCAGGAACTTTAAAATAAAATATAGAAATGTTATGTGGGCATATTGGAACTACAAGGTAAAGAGGCTTTTTTTTTTTAAGAGACATGCAATACAAACGTGTATTTCTGCCTTGTTTCTTACTTATCTTATCCTTTCTTATCCAAAGATTGAGCAAAAACCTCCAGATGATGCTGAAACCAAAAAGTCCCAAAGAGAATCCTGAAAACAAGTCTGACTTGTGGGGAAAGAAAGATACTATCCTTTAAAAGTCACGCCAATGTTTCTGAAACTACCAGCCACTTCTGTCTGGACAGCAGACAACCTCTCTCTCTCTCTCTCCCCCCTCTTCTTCTCCTCATTCTTCTGTCTTAAGCTGTGAATCCCATTCAGAGACTCGTCATAAAGATTCCAAACCGCCGTAAAAAGGTCAATAGCAGTGTACATTTGTGGGAGTCTGCAGCAGCACATGAAAAGGATTCCAACACCTCCCATTAACAGATGATGTCTACACGTTGTGGTCTCTCCCTCTCTCTCTCTCTCTCTCTCTCTCTCTCTCTGTCTTTTCAAGGCCTTTGCACCCCCCCCCCCCCCCCCCCCCCCCCCCCCCAATGACAGGAAGCCTTCTCTTTAGACATGGCTGCTTTAAAGCAAGGGGTCAATATGGATATTTTGATTTTACAGATGAGTGAGATTATGAAAATGTCAAGATTAATGTTTTTATGTATTAATTTTCATGTTGTTTTCTATTGTTTTCATGCCAGAATTCATTTCCAAGCACGACACACATATGAATGATGCATTGAAAATAACCTTTAATTGAATTAAATATTAGCATTAAGTGTGTTGAGAGAAAAAAAATCAGCATTTGTCAATTATTTTGATAACTTTTACTGAGACAAAATAACTGAGAAAAACCCTGAAACAATGAGTGTCACATAAACAGCGAATTGCCCTTCTGTCATGGGTGGAACAGATGCCAGTGTCATAAACATGCAGATTGGTAAATAATATTATTGTTAATGCTTTTTTAAAGCAAATGTATGCATGTAATACATAACACGTATACCTGGCGTACTTTTTGATGCAGTGTAAATAGCCTCAACACCAGTGTGCCAATTAGAGAGAGGCAGCGAGCTGTTTTAGGTCAGGGAATAAGAGACGCAAGAAAACACAGCGCGCGCGCACATAACATCATCCCATATGTAAACATGCATTCAGCTTCCGCATCAGTGACCATGAGATACTAAACAAACGAATAGATGCACAATACACTGCAGCACAATTAATTCAATATAATAGATATGAAAAATGTGCCACTGCTGTTCGCTCACCGTGTAAGGTCGGACAGTGCTGCTTTTCTGCTTTACTTTCCATTGGAACTAGGCCGCCATGTTTCGCGCATCCGCGCATGTCCAGCAGCATCTGAGCCTTGACATATATTTCAATGGAATATCGAAGAACTACAGATCATCTTGTATGGGTGAATCTGAATTTCAAACTCCCAATATTCCTTTCAAATCCACGTTTACACGCTGAATCCGGTTTGAACTAAATTCGACTGACATTCTAAAAATTGAATGAAATTTAAGTGGATATAGCCTATGTGTTATCTTGCTTACAGATTAATTATTAGTGAGTTGGGGGAAAACTATAGGCCTATATGAGGAATATCATAGTGTTTAATGTTCATTGTGGATACAAATAAACATAATTTAACTAAAAAAATCTAATTTATGAGGTAGTCTTCGATGTTAATTAAATGGGCATTCATTATCTGGTCTAATAAAACAGCAAAGGTGCATATTTTATCATCGCATATAATTATTCTTTTAAATAATTCAAATGATCTATAGCCTTTGTCTATAGCCTATATGTATGACTTTTAAAAAGTGTTACTCCTGTGTGAAATGGGGTCACATTAAATATGCTATAAGAGCATGACTGCTGTAGCCTAAATAACACTTTATTAAGAAAACAACTTTTTTTAATATTATTTGTAGGCTTTTGCATGTGATACTTTTCAGATGGTAAATTGGTAATAATCGCTAGATGGCACCATGCGCTTTTCCTGAAGAATCACTCCATGCAGTCAGCTCTCGAGTTTTCCCATATTACATTCTTCTTGCTCATTTTTGCTGGAAACCCCAGCATTTTTGCATGTGATGTTTATTAAGAGTGACATATTATGCCATTCTGCTATAATTCTCTGAATAATAATAATAATAAATAAATAAATAATGCATAAATAAATGTGTAGCTACAAAACTGACCAATCGTAATTTTACATATAATTACATAGATCAGAGATGGATGGATGGATGGATGGATGGATGGATGGATGGATGGATAGATAGATAGATAGATAGATAGATAGATAGATAGATAGATAGATAGATAGATAGATAGATAGATAGATAGATAGATAGATAGATAGATAGATAGATAGATAGATAGATAGATAGATAGATAGATAGATAGATAGATAGATAGATATTCGGCCAGGATCTATAGGCCTGTTCTTTTTCTTCTCAGCAGAATAAACAGCGTGAGCTGTCTGCTGAATTGATCTTTCAGCTCAGCCCACACACACACACACACGCACAGCCTCACCAAACGAGCACATCATTTTGGATGTAGCCTATGCATGTATGAAATGTAACACATCCGAGCAGGAATGCATTTTATCATTTCTCAACCAAACCCAGCCAAAGACGATCTTTCGCTTCTGGACCATTCTGAGCTTTCCTCCATTGTGATTGGCCACAGGGAGGTTCGGTTCGGACACTATTGGTGTGAGCAGTCCGCCACTCACTCGGATTGGTGCCGCTTCGCCTGATCGCCAATTTGTATACACCCTACTACAGCGAAGGCCTGGCTCATGAATATTAACTAGCCTACGTGACTCAAGTAGAGGTAACTGCAGGCTGGAGCAATGGGCGTGGCGAGAGGTAGGGGCGTGGCAAGAGGTAGGGGCGTGCCGTAAGGTCTTTACAATTGGACGCGAAAGCTTCCTGATCCGCATAAAAGCGAGCCATAAACTTAATCACTATTGACCAACAAATAATTATACAAGACCAAATACATTTATTTCACTGTAAAAATATCAATAATGATATTGAGAAGATATCCAAAAGTACGTTACCTTCGAAACCTTCTGTATGGCGCGGGTTACATGACGTCATCACCACCGCGACTTTTTTAGGATCAGTCATTAAAAAACATTCATACTGTTTGTGAAAATTGCACTTTTTGTAACACATCGCTTGAAGATATTGAACCTTTATTTTTGTATTGCCCTTTTTCTATTTCTTTTTGGACTGACTTTAAAATAGATATGACAAACAAATTTGTCTTAATTTAGAACCTCATGACATTTTACTTTGTTTCCAAAACCTATATTTTTCTGAAAAACAAAATTATATAATTAAATTATTTTGACAAAGTTTTATTCATAAGACAAAAATAACTCAAAAGAAAACCCTCATATTACCTTTTAAAACACTGATCTCACAGTAACCTATACTTTGAAACCCTTTCAAACATGAGATCACAAAACGTTTTTGAAAATATCTATAACTGCCTTGATATTATAAACTTTTATTTTTGTATTTATATTTTGTTCATTTTATACTTCAGTTGTTATTGTTATTCTCTGGTTCACACATTTTTAGCTGTATTTACAATGCCTTGTATTCATATTGTTTTTTTTTATTGCATTATACTTGAAATGTCTGTACTTGAACTAAATAATAAAAGAAAAGAAATTTAATTATTCTTTTAAAGATAAAAATGTCTCCTGACACTATTAGTCATACTAGTTTTGTACTTTCAAGTACATACAAACTAAAAGTAATGTTATTTTTATAATAATGGTACAGGAAATGTTTTTGCTGTATACAGGCATGCATATATACGTGTTTGATCAAACACTCACCATATAATAAAATAAAAAAAATCACCATATAATAAAAAAATTAAGTAAAAACAGTTTAATAAACTTCTAAGTGGCATTAATCAATTAAGCAAAACAAACACCATTTTATCCAAAAAACATTTATTCAGTTCAGTTGTCATTTTTACAATTAATTTTTTTTATTCATCAAAGGCTTGTGTTCAAAGTCAAAACTCATTCCTCTATTACTCATTCCTCTATTACTCATTCCTCTATTACTCATTCCTCTATTACTCATTCCTCTATTACTCATTCCTCTATTACTCATTCCTCTATTACTCATTCCTCTATTACTCATTCCTCTATTACTCATTCCTCTATTACTCATTCCTCTATTACTCATTCCTCTATTACTCATTCCTCTATTACTCATTCCTCTATTACTCATTCCTCTATTACTCATTCCTCTATTACTCATTCCTCTATTACTCATTCCTCTATTACTCATTCCTCTATTACTCAGAACAGAAGCCATCAAATGCTCTATCTGAATAGAACGCAGTAAAGACCCCCTTCTTTCCATTGCTGCAATATCCAGTGGTGTTTTTGTAGAGGAATCCACAGGCATCACATCTGGTGAGCTTAAACCCCACCCTATATTCCTCCCTCACATTCGGATTGACTGACTTCCAGTCAACGATACCTACAAGATAAAAGAAAAAAAAAATTTTTAATGCAAAAAATCTGAAGACTCACCTCAGAAAAGTCAAAAGCCACCCCCAGAGAAATGTACAGGCCATACTGAAATTCAAAGGCTACTTGTTTAGACCTTTTTTATTTGGTTTCTAAATGAAAAAAAAAAAAATGAAAAAAAAAAAATGAAAATGCTGAATGGTTTAGAAATGAACCACCATACAGCAGCTGAGAACATTTGAACAAGAACTGTTCAACTGGAACTTCTGAACATGAACTATTGAGCTATGTAAAAGACCTGTACACTTGACTGTATCTCCCATCACTAAGACCACTTGCGCAGAGTGAATCAAGAAAAAAACACTTGTTTCAGCTTTGGACGCAAAATCTGAAAATGGTTGTTAAAAAACACAAAATATAGAAATCAATTTGACATGGATAAAAATGTCTTGATGACTTACACAAAGCATCCAGTGTGACTTGATCCACGATAGAAATAGAATGCAGTCTTTTGTGGAAGCATCAACCTATCACAAATAAATATAATACAAAATGGTGCACAATGTTTATTTTGCTCTGTGAAATCTTTTTGCCTCCTTTGAAAGAATGCTTACAACATATATGCCACATAAAATGTCAATAGCAATAATACATCGAAACAGTCAATGAAATCTAAAGTATGTATGCTAAACAATAACAAATCATAACTACAATATTACACTGTGGAAAAAAATATATAATTGCTTACAGGGATATGTAACATGGGATCCGCACAAAGTGGGGGAATCAGCGTTCCATTCACTTAGCTGTTAGACGTCTCGACTTGGATGCCCTAATAACAGAAACATACACATTTCTTCATAATAGCTTTTTGCATTTTATTCACGCTACAAGGCAAAGCAATGACATTTTACCTGCAATTTGCTAAGGTCTTCAATTTTCAAAATCTATAAGAATCATAAACATCAAACACAATTTAAAATAGTAAAATTAATATATAAAGCAAAACATGTTTGTCATAAGTTTCCAATTATGATACGTAACATAACCGTTAACGTTATTATCTAACCTTAACAAGTTATCTGTAACAGATGTAACCAGTAACAGGCATGCATAGCATATCACAACTGAACTCATACTTACGTTCATGGCGAACCGCGCGAAGTCTGTGGCTTTGCAAATGACTGTGGATCTTGTTATATTCACAAGGTCTAAAAACACTGAGAGCACAGAACGGACATCGATATAAATCGCCGACTCTGATGTCTTCGACGCAAATGCAGTCGTTAATGCTTCTCACTGTAACATGTGTCTGTCAACAACAATTAAATAATTACCAAAGCTGAAAGATGTAAAGCAAAGAGAACAACAAATTATATGGCATATGTGAATTACCTCTGCCATCTTCTCTCCGTCTAAAGGAAATGATGTTTTTTTTCAGCTAAAGGAAATGACGTTTAACTATGGTTACTGCTGATTGGCCAACGCAGTTGCCAGGAGGAAACTCCTTTGACCAATGAGAAACCTCTTGCCACGCCCCTACCTCTTACCACGCCCCTACCTCTTGCCACGCCCATTACTCCAGGCTGCAGCTACCCCTGTCTCACGTGACTGGACGATTCTGCAAGGTTACCAGGCAACGTCAGCGTGACGTGCTTAATATTCATTAACCGCCCCTTCGCCATACTGCGATCCGTAAGTTCGCCTTGTTAGGTTGTCAATGGCTCAGAATGAAGGTGGATACTGTTGCAGCTGTGATGATGGGTTACCACTGCAGGTGAAAATGAAAACATCGTTAACGTTACTTGGCGAGGCGAGAGGACAGTTTGCGCGACGT